AATATTTATTTGTTAATATTTAATAATTCCTAAATGAATTGTCACTTGTTTGAAAGCAAATTCAATCAGCCTAATTTATTTTTATACAAATTATTTTGCTTTACACACATATAGATTTATTTATCCTTGAGAAGTTAAATCCAAACCTTAAAGAATTAAGATTAACAAATTCAACTTTTGCAGTGAAATAATGACACAGCTCCTTCCTTATTTGAATAAATGCCCAATTTTTGTCAAGCAAAATCTTTTACTTTGTTTAACCTTATATCAATCCCTTTTATTCCTAATTTAAACAACTGTGCATTAACTTTTAACACATTTAACTCCTGCTTTGTTTTGTAAACAGGTTAGGGAATGACTGAACCACGGAAACTAGAAACGGTCCTGTTTTACAGTTTAACCTTAACTATTCGCTCACCTCTATTTTCCCAAGACAAAAATAACTAAATTATCATTCCACAAATGACAACAGACAATCACACAATCCACAGAAAGTCAGACAACAGAAAAGACAAACAGATAAGACAAGCAAAAAAACAAACAATTGGCCATAATATAAATGATGAGGCTCTGGTTGGGTGGCCTGTGCGGGACATCTTGGCCCTGTCCCCGGGGGGGCTTTTGCTGGTAATTTTCTGGTCCAGGTGTGGGGTAGGGGCCCGGGCCCGAAGCAGGAACTAGATGGATTAGTGTGGCAGTGACACCGCACCCCCCACCCATCTGGATTTTAGATTCACCTATTGGGTCATCCGGTAATCCCGGGACCGGCCACCAGCGCCGCCGGGTCCTTGGTCTGGGATTATTGGATGTGAGTGTTACTGTTTTTTTTTTTTTACTTCTTTCTTCCTCTTCACAGAGACTTTGTTTTGTGAGTGGAGGCACTAGGTTGGGAAGGCATGATTGAGATGGTGTTTTTTTTAATGTTGTATTTGTCAGGTTCGGGTCTGATGTTGTCCCTCTCCCAATAACATCTCAAGTCTCCTCTAAGTGCAGAGCCAAACCCCCCCCTCCGCTGGCTGGCACTTGGGCTCACCCGTGCACTGGTGATGCTCGGTGTTTGGAGGTAAGTGCCCGGGCTGGTACTGGCTTATACCTGGCAGCTGCTCATGGGCGCCTTTGCTCTTGGGATCCCTTTGAGCGTCTGGGGCTTAGGGTCCCCTCGGTGCTCTGGAGGGGCACATCTTTGGCTCTTCACAACCACTATTGAGCATTTTTCCTTTGGCTAAACTTTACATGCACAAGTGCACTCTCACAAACAACTACAGGTGCTTCGCTCCAGGTACTTAGAGATTCACTTTCATACGGAAAGCCCATATTCTTATCTTCAGCTACAAGTAATTTAAGGTCCAGATTAAATAATACTACTTACACTTCAGCGATAG